AGAGGTTGTACTAGTTTACCCTCTTTTTTCCCCACATCCTCTCCAACATCTGTTATTTTTTGAGTTATTGATGATGGCCATCCTGACTGGAGTTAGGTGGTATCTCAGTGTGGTTTCAATTTGCATTTCTTTGATGATTAGTGAGGCTAAGCATATTTTCATGTATCTGTTGGCTGCTCACAGTAACGATTGTTTAGTGCAAGTATCTGTTATTTTCTATGCTATGGGTCATTTCACAGACAAAAGAGCTGTAATGAATTCTTCTTTTGAGAAGTGTCTATTCATATCTTTTTCTCACCTTTTTTTTTTCTTTCTTTCTTTTTATTATAAAGATGTGGGATACAATTCAATTCAGGGTTAGGTATACAAACGTTGATTATGTAGGTACCCTTGTTGATAAGGTATGCCCCTCCCTCCACCAGCAGTTTCCCTAAACTGCCAATCCCACTCCCCTTGCCTGACAGTTTCCCACTACTGCCAATCGCTTTCTTATAGTATTATAATTGTTCAAGGTTCACTCATGAGTGAGAACATATGGTACTCTGTTCTTTTTTTCTGTGATAGATCACTGAGTATGATCAACTTTAAATCCATCCAAGTTGCTGCAAAGTCCATATGTTTGTCCTTCTTTATGGCTGCATAATATTCCATTGTGTATATGTACCACATTTTTTTAATCCAATTCAGCTTCTATGGTCAACATGGTTGCTTCCATGTTTTTGCTATTGTGAATAGAGCTGCAACAAACATACGTGTGCAGGTATCTTTTTTGTAGAATGATTCATGTTCCTCCGGGTATATTTCCAATAGGGGAATTGCTGAGTCATATGAAAGGTCAATTTCTAATTCTTTCAGATACTGCCACACTATCTTCCAAAGAGGCTGCACTAGTTTGCATTCCCACCAACAGTGTACAGGCGCTTCTTTTTCTCCGCATCCTCGCCAGCATCTGTTGTTGTTTGTTTTATTAATGATGGCCATTCTTACTGAGGTTGGGTGGTATCTCAATGTGGGTTTGATTTGCATTTCTCTGATGATGAGTGAGGCTGAGCACTTTGTCAAGTGTCTGTCGGCTGTTCGTATATCTTCTTTTGAGAAGTGTCTGTTCATGTCTTTTGCCCACTTTTTAGTGGGGCTGTTTGTTTTTTTGCTTTTAGTGTGTTTGAGTTCCGTGTGGATCCTGGATGTTAGACTTTTGTCAGATATACAGTTGGCAAATATTTTTCCTATTCTGTGGGCTGTCTCCCCACTCTCTTCATGGGTTTTTTTTTGTTGTTGTTGTTTTTTTGCTTTGGGGAAATTTTTCAGGTTGATGAGGTTCCACTTGTCTATCTTATCTTTTATGGCATGGATTATTGGGGGTTTGATCAAGAATTATTTGCCTATTCCAATGTCTGTAAGGGAGTCTCCTGCGTTTTCTACGATTCTTAATGCCTGAGGCTTTACATTTAGGTCTTTGTGCCATTTAGAGTTGATTTTTGTGTATGGATGGGTAGGGGTCTTGTTTCATTCTTTTGCATAGTGTCAGCCAGTTTTCCCAGTGCCATTTACTGAATAGCTTCTCCTCTCCCCAGTGGTTGTTAATGGAGACTTTGTCAAAGATGACTTGGTTAAGAAATTGAGGTTTTTCAGTAAATGGTGCTGAGAAAACTGGCTGACCACATGCAGAAGATTGAAACAGGACGCCTACCTATCCCCATACACAAAAATCAACTCTAAATGGATCAGAGACCTAAACAAAAAACCTCAAACTATAACAACCTTAGAAAATGCAGGAGACACCCTTATGGAAATTGGAATTGGCAACTAATTCCTGATCAAAACCCCAAGTGCCCATGCCATAAGAGATAAGATAGACAAGTGGGACCTCATCAAACTGAATAGCTTCTGCAAAACCAAAGAAATAATTAAGAGAGTGGGGGGAGAGCCCACAGACTGGGAAAAAAATATTTGCCAACTGCATGGCTGACAAAGACCTAACATCTAGGATCTACAAGGAACTCAAAAGTGCTGAAAAGAAAAAAACAAACAGCCCCATTACAAAGTGGGCAAAAGATATGAATAGACACTTCTCAAAAGAAGACATACGAGCAGCCAACAGAGACATGAAAAAATGTTCAGCCTCACTAGTCATCAAAGAAATGCAAATTAAAACTACACTGAGATAACACCTAGCTTCAATCAGAATGACCAAGACTCTATCAATAACTCAAAAAATAACAGATGCTGGAGAGGATGTGCCGCAAAGGGAACACTTCTACACTGTTGGTGGGAGTGTAAACTAGTACAGCCTCTGTGGAAAACAGTGTGGTGATTCCTAAAAGTTTTAAAAATCAACCTTCCATATGACCCTGCAATCTCCCTACTGGGAATATACCCGGAAGAACTCAAAGCACTCTATAAAAAAGATACCTGCACATGTATGTTTATTGCAGCATTGTTCACAATAGCAGAACATGGAACCAACCATGCTGCCCATCAAAAGAGGACTGAATAAAAAAATATACGCAATGCAATATTGTGCAACCATAAAGGAGAACAAAATTGCGAACTTCACAGCAACCTGGATGGACTTAAGAGTCTATAATGAATGATCTTTCTCAGAAATAAAGAACTGAGTATCACATGTTCTCACTCATAAGTGGACTTTGAACAACTATTGTAATACTATAAG